CCAAAGAGGATTCTGCGTGTCTTAGTGAAATGCTCATTATACCAGGGGCTAAAAATAGATACTGCGGGACTGGAGAGATGGGTCAGCAGTTAAAAGCACTGGCTGTTCTTTCAGAGGACTGGGGTTCAGTTCCCAGCACCCACATTGCAGCTTGCAACCGTCTGTAACTCCATGCAGGCAAAACACTGTACCCATCAAATAAAATAAACATCCTAGGTTAAAAGAAATAAATGCCGTGATAGAGCTAAGAGAAATCAAGGTGAGAGCAATCAGAGCCAGGGAAAACCTACACTATGGAAACTCATGCTCAAGATCCCAAAGCGGTTTGGATCTGAGGAGAGAGGGAGCAGCGTCAATCACAGAAGGTGCAGTCGCCCCAAGCCAAGCTCATCTTGTCACAAATGTCTTGGTGACATTCTCAAGAGGCCAGTGAGGGGCTGGGGGCAGTGTTAGCTCATGAGGTGGAGCGCTTGCCTGGCATGCAGGAAGCCCTGGGTTTGATGCATAAACCAGGCATGGTGGTGCATACCTGCAATCCCAGCACTTGGGAAGGGGAGGCAAGAGGATCAGGAGTTCAAGGTCATCTCCAGCTGCCTAGTAAATTCGAGACCATCCTGTGCTACATGAGACTGTGTCTTAGAAAACTTCAGTAAGGATGCTGTGGGACCAAATAATCTGGATTTCTGCGCCTTCAATGATCCCCCATTTTTTTGTTTTCACTATCTCTCCAGATTATCTGCTTATTATTTGATTTAAGTTGACTAGAAACTGGACACCAAGTAAGAAATGAGCAAAAAAAATTTTTTTAACGTAGTCAAAATGCAGCTGAGTAAGCCATGGTATATACGAGGTTCCCCCAGCGAAGAACAGCGGGCAAAAAAAGTCCCAGCATCCTGGCTTAGCTGAAACATAAAAAGCACGAAGACGTGAAACCCATCCGAGCAGGCCATAAAGACACTGCTGCCGCCTTTGCCTCCAAACTTGGGCTATGATCTGCTGCCCTGGAACAAAATTCAAACATAAATCAGCTCCCGCTGTATTTTTAAACTACCTACGAAACTCTTCACTTCCTGCCTGAAGTGCTTCTGACAGCGAACGCCCTCACTCTCCCTCACCCCTGCTCTGAGAAAAGGCTCCCTCGGGGCCCTGCTGGGGATCAGAGCCTGGGTCTCGCAGTTCAGGCGAGTCCAGAAAGAGGAGAAGGACAGAAGGAACCATCTGGAGCTTGGGCTGGGGCCAGCCTCTGCGGTGCTGTTACCCGAAGATGGAGAGGGCTCCTTCTCCTGGCATTCCCTGCCAACCGGGATGCCCTCTCCTCATCACTCCCCAACACAGTCTCATCTATACCCTCTGACCTAGAGCCCCTGCCAAGCCACCCCGGGTGCCCACAGCATTATCTTTATCAGAGTCACTAACACAGCAGCAGTGGGTACCAGGCCGCTGGCATTTAATTATACAGTATCTGGCATTTGCGACTTCATGCTGTCACGTCTGTCTCTCTAACTAGATTAAAGATATCTTGAGGGTAATGATGAGTTCATCTTACGGCATATGTTTATCTTACAGCTGACCACGGCGCCTTATGTCTGGGCACCTTTCTAACAACAAGGTCATGGAGACAGAATGGTGGGGTGTCTACCCTGGCAGGTTCTCTCTGCCCTGTCCGTTTTGTAGAGAAAGAAAAAAAAAAAAGGAAAGCCAAAGGAGAGGCTTGACCAACCCAAGGCTGTGCCACGAGAACCTTCCAGAAGAGACCCAGGTCTCCTGACCGCCAATGCAACACGCTCTATTTGCCTTAGCCACTCGAAAACCCTCAAAAAGACAGTTCAGGCCCACAGCTCCCTGGGGAACAAAGAGACACATGCGGACAGACTGCCATCCCCCAGGACTCCATCTGCTCCTGGGCAGGATTGCCAGGCCAGGCAGTAGAAAAGCTCCGTGAACAGCCCTGGTGGGAGTCAACGCCAGGTCTCCCTGTACTAGCCGTCAGGGTGGGGTGGGGTGTGTAAGGACCCGAGTGGATTGCCTGGGTCCCCGCAGCCTCCCCTCACACCACGGGGGTCAGTCAGCATATTCTGTGCCTGCCGTCCTGATAGATACATCAAGCTGTGACTGACAAGCTGTGAGAGGAGAGGACGGGCCCCTCCGTGGAGAGACGCCTGTGCATGCTGGGGCTGCCGTCTGCAGTGAACGCCACACTCCAGGTAGTTGCCTCAAACTCCAGACAACACATGCTCCATAGTGACAGGAAGGCTGACAGAAACCAGCCTCAAAACAAATGGCAGCAACTGATAGGCAAAACCCAGGCACAGGCTGGTGGCTCCTCAGTCCTGAGGTCTCTCTCCTGGTCACTCACTCCGAAGCTGCTCTGTAGCAGTTCTCAGAAGGGCCTTCCACACCCAGCATGATGCACTCACTTAACAGATAGGAAAACCGAGGCCTAGAAAACGGAAGTACTTTGCTCCACATCGCCCCTGTGTACAGCTGCTAAATGACAGAGCTGAGACTGGAATCCAGGACAGCTTGAACGTAAAACCTCCCCCCCACCCTGCACTTCACTACAATCCACAGAGACTTTGATTCCAGCTTGTTTTGAGTCTTTTGTTTTTTGTTTTGGTTTCTCCTTTAAGGCAGGGTTTCTCTGTGCAGCCCTAGCTGTCTTGGAACTTGTTCTGTAGACCAGGCTGGCGTTGAACTCAGGAGATCTGCCTGCCTCTGCCTCCCAGAGTGCTGAGATTAAAGGTGTGTACCACCACACTGGCTTTAAAAAAAAAAAAAAAAAAAAAAAACACAACAATACTTTTACTTTTATGTTCTTGGGTGTTTCGCCTGTATGTTTAATCCGTGCACCTTGTGTATGCAGTACCTGAGGTGGCCAGAAGAGGGCGTCAGCTCCTATGAAATTGGAGTTACAATTATTAGCCACCATGTGGATGCTAGGAATGCCACCCAGGTCCTGTACAAGAGCTAAAATGCTCTTAACTCTCCAGCTTCTCATCTTGAGCATTTTACCCCATCACCTGACGCACACATGAGGTTGCTCAGGGAGAAAGTTGAGAGCTCCCCTGTCTTTGCTGGGGACTGGGAGGAGACGAGACTGGCATGAGGCACAGCCAGAGCTCTGTGGCTTTTTCTTGGTGCCAGAGAAACGCAGAAGGAGCCACTTCTAAAAGAACACAGTGTTTTCCCTCCTCTTCTCACGTCCCCTGGGCCAGTGCCTGTGATAATTGGGAAGCAGAATCTGGTTTTTCTGGGCCTGGAACCAATGCTGGAAGAGTGTTCTGACAATAAGTGTTGTTGATTGACAGTTGATAGACAATGTTCTCGAGTAAGATTTTCCTGTGCCGGGTGTTAAGCTGAGAGAACTGCACAAAACAACTTCCAACAGCCTGCGTCCTGCTCAGGTAGGATTTACTACAAGCTCTTTCGTGGGTCGCAGGCAGCCAAGCGAGATGGTATCTCGGGTCCCTCCCAGCCCCATCACTCAAGGACTCTATCAAGAAGGAAACACAGATCTGAAAACGTTTTTCCTCCAAACACTGAGGTGGGGTTATTATTCACACAGAGAAACAGGCTCCAGTGCAGAGATAACTACTGTGAACCAAGGAGCTTCGATTCTGGTCTCATCAGCTTTGACCTAGGAATTCCACCTGGGCACATTTATCTTTAGAAAGGAACACTGAAGGACAGAGCTGTGTATGCAGAGATGCTCGCTTTGTTCCCTGTGCACAGAGGTTCCGCCCTGTGAAATAATGTCCAGCACAAGAATGGCATCATCAATAATCATGACCTCAAAGACATGTAAAAAAGAGCTATGGTAGTTTTTTTGAACCACACCCCACTCATTTAAACCACATCCATCTACTTGCTAGGTTTTTGTTGTTGTTGTTGTTTTTGCTCCTCCCAATTTAAAAAAAAATTATGATTATTTTTTAATTGTTGAGGTTTCATTGCTGTCCAGACGGATTTCAAACTTGTGGGCTCTAAATACTGCTCCCACCTCACTCTCCTAAGTAACTGGGACTACAGATATTGTCCCATCATGCTCGGCTATCATTTTTTTTTTTTACTCAAATAGTTTAAAATTGCCACAGCACTTCACAGATGCTAAACGTACTGAGTTGAGCTGTAAAACTTTGGTTGCAGTTGCGCGGGTCACAGTCTATACGGTAGGGTTATAATTAAAACATCTCAAAAGGCCACAGGTCTAAACACTTTGAAATGCTATGCCTGAGCAAGCCTGTAAGGGAATACTCAGAAAAAGGAGCTAGTAAAACTCAGGCTGAACATCGCATGCTGCCCGCCTTCTACACGTCTTCCATGATGTTTGCAGGCTGTTCCTGTCTCACCAGAAAACGAAAGCCATGTCTAAGAACACAAAACGATTAACGGTACAAGGCCATAGATTCCAACGGGCGGAGTGGCTCAGATTGGGACTGAAGGAGCAGGGCTTGCAGGCTGAGCCTCGTGGAACTGACTGAATTTTTTTTTTTCTTTTTCCTTTTTTTTTTTTCCCCCGAGACAGGGTTTCTCTGTGTAGCTTTGGTGCCTGTCCTGGATCTCGCTCTGTGGACCAGGCTGGCCTCGAACTCACAGAGATCCGCCTGGCTCTGCCTCCCGAGCGCTGGGATTAAAGGCGTGCACCACCGCCGCCCGGCCCGACTGAATTTGAATGAAGTTAGACTAAAACTGCAGGGATGCCACTGACGGATGCAAGAAGGAATAAGATGTTTAAAAAAAAAGAAAAGAGAAGAGAAGAAGAGGAGAGAAAAGAAAGAGTTCTCAGTATGTAAATCGGTCTCCACCCAGGCGTGGACCAGTCGCCGCTTGTCAGCCGATCTGATCCCCTGACCTCCAACTAGAGGCCGCCCCTCACAAACATGGCCGCGGCAGGAGGGACGCGCCCCTCAACAAGATGGCGACGGCAGTAGCCCCGCCTCCTCCTGCCGCGCCGGCCAGTGAGAGAGAAGCACGAGGACTTGCGCGTGCGTAGTGCGGCCTAGTGGGCGGGTCCGGTGCGGGGACACGGCGAGCAAGGATGACTAAAAAGAAGCGGGAGAATCTCGGCGTCGCTCAGGAGGTGAGGGGGAGCAAGTCCTTCTTGCATCCGTGGCTGGCCGCCGTGTCCCGCCGCGGGGGCGTGGGTCGGGCCGGCGGCTGCGAGGGCGAGGGGCCAGACGGAGGAAGCCAGGGCGACGACGTGGCCTTGGGAGAGGCGGCGGCGGCGGCGGAAGAGGGAAGAGGGCCCCCGAGGTGAGGGATCGGGATGAGGGAGGCAGTGATGAGAGAGGCCAGGGGAGTCCCCAAAGAAGACATGTCAGGGACCTGTAGACGAGGAGACTGTCGTGGACTCGGGGGTGAGTGCGCTTCTGTGCTCCGGGATAGTGCTAAAGGGCTCAAACGTCTCCAGAGTTGGGAAGTTTTCTCCTGTGGGGTACCAAAGCCTGTAGCTTTGGAAATTCACTTTGAGGATCTTGGGGAATCTGGAAAGAATTCTAGAACTGGTGCTGGGGAAGGCCTTTAAAAACAGCTTGTCACACGTGGAAAGAAAGGCATCAGATGCTGGTTGAGTACCCTCTGCTGCCTTCGCTTGCATTCTCAGTGAATCCTTGCGTGCCTGGCATGTTTGTATAGACGGGGGACCCGAGGTTCTAAGTAGAACCCAGGGGTTGGGCATGGTAGTGCATGCTTATAGTCCCACGACTCAGAGAGCTAAGGTAGCTAAGATTGGGAGTTCAAAGCCAGCCTGGGATACAGAGCAAGAGCATGTCCCAAAAGAGGAAAGAGAAAGTGGAAACCAGCTTAAAGTGGTAAAGGTGAAGAAGAGCACAGAATGATGCTCAGGTGGGCTGCCTGGAAGTGGGGACTCATTTCCTTTCAGTTACCAGAGCAGACATGTTCAGCCTGTGGCCCTTAGGCCACAAGTGTCCCAGTACATCTAGGAATGTGACTCAACATATTTGTAGATGACAGCATCAGGTATCAATGTCAACCTACCCCCCCCCCCCGACTTCTAACCTACTGGGTGATTCTCACAGACTCATCATAGAGCTTGCAGAAGTGGAGACACGACCATTTCTTCATCCCAGTAGGACCTGAGTGTGTTTAAGCCATGCATATCCATGCTAATGCAGGTGTTGTGTATGGCTGTCCTACGGAGCCAAGCAACCGCCATCTAGGGAAGTTCAGCTGTGATTGCTTGCAAAAGGATTAGCCCAGCTGTGCTTGTTGAGGGTTGAGGAGGGTCAGAAGATCCTCACCTGAGTGTCCAGCCTCTTCCCATACCGCCCGTGGTATGCAACTCAGGGCCTGATGAATTGCACCGCCCGTGGTATGCAACTCAGGGCCTGATGAATTGCACATGGCCTCAGAGCAAGGCTGTGGTATTTAGGCTAGGGAAGCCTAGGTGAGGGGGCCCCAAGTGTGGACTGTTGGGGAGGAGCGCCCACACCCCTGTAAGTGGCCTTCACCTGTTCTCTAAAGAAGCCCAGTAAACTCAGTAGAGTGAACTTTGTCAGAACCACACCTCAGTCTGTCATTGGGATCTTAGGAGGAGGGGTAGGCATTGGCTTCTGTCTCCCCAGGAAAGAATTTCAGCAACAGCAGCTGACTGTAGGAGCACCCACCTCAACTGGGTATTGGCCTGCTTGGTAGCGGGGAAAAGCTGTTGGAAATGTGAATGTCCTAAGAGACTAAAGCATGCGTGGTGAAATAAGCTGGCAGTGTGTATGTAGCACAAGGGCATAGACTTGATAGCCTGTGTTAGAGCACAGTGAGCCGTTGTAACAGAAACTCCAAAATTCAGAAGCTTCGAGACTGAAGAGTCGCCCTGAGCTGACAGCCTGGAGAAGCGGTCAGCAGGCTGTGTGTGGAAAGAGTCGAACAGGACTGGTGTAGACTTGGTGAGGAGGGCACCTCTGTTGCAGCTCTCTTCAGTCTTACTCAGACGCCCTGTCCCCCTCCCGGCTGTGGCGGCTCTGCTGCCCTCAAGTCAGTGCTGGCATATTTGCCAAAGCAAGTGGCAGCCCGTGGGAGTCACCTGAGAGCCGCAGTTCCGGCTGAGGCTGAGCGAGTGCGGCTCGGCCCTATTTGAGCTGTCATGCCATAACAAACGTCCTTTTTATGGGCTTTCTAGTGCCGTGGTTTTTGCATTTTTGTGCTCTTTATTGGTGATTTTGCTACTTCAAGGGACCCCTAAGCACAGCGCTCAAGTGCCGTCTAGTGTTCCAGGGCTGTGATCTGGCTTATAGGGACAATCGGTTTGTTAGATTAACCATTTTTCAGGCATGAAGCAACTCGGCACTACATGATGCTCTGGGCAGTGAGTTCAATGCTAATGAATCGTCCGTTTATTAAATAAGATCTCTTTTACAAAACACACATCGGAGAACATTGTGTTGGATTAGTTGATGAAAATGGTGACCAGAGCTTTGCGGAAGCCCAACCCGCTTCAGTATTTGCTCACTGGATGTTGGGCCAATTTTAAAGACTATAAGTACCGGGCTGAGAGATGGCTCACCAGTTAAGAGTGCTGGTTGTTCTTGCAGAGGGCCGGGATTGGTTCCTACCATCCCCACAGCGGCTCACAATCTCTCTACCTCCTGTTCTGAGGGATCTGATGCCTTTTTTTGGCCTCTGTGGACACCAGGTATGCATGTGGTACACAAACAGAAAAAAAAATTCATAAAATATAAATAAATCTTGAAAGAAAAAAATTAACTACCATAGCCAGTTATGATAGCATATGCTTATAATCTCAGCACTTGGGAAACAGAGAGCTCAGGAGTTCAAGACCATCCTTACTACATAGCCCAACCCAGGATACATGTGATCCTGACTTAAATACACAAACAAACAAAAAATATAGAAAAGCAGCTGTGGACAGTATGTGAGTGTGGCAGCTTATGTAAGTAGTGAGTGGGCCTTATCTAAAGCTAATGGTGTGCTTAGGAGGCTGAGACAGGCAGCCCTGTATAATCATCTTTGTCCTCTTGTGCCCTGAGAGTCCGTGTGTGTGTGTGTGTGTGTGTCACACACACACACTTACAAGCAGTAATCCCTTGGCAGTGCAAAGCCAGGCTTCCAGGATCAAGCAGAGGGGTGACAAGAATCACATAGAGGGGCAGTAATTGTTAACTATCATTTGCAACCCTAAAGGGAAGTGACTAATGGGGAAATGAATTAACTAAAGGCTGAATTCAGATAATATCTAAGAAGAGGGATCTTACGTGCTCAACTATAGCCTTAAACATGATTGGTAGAAAATGTTAAGAATCTGTAAGTTGGTAGGTCAATGGGAGAAAATAAAACTGTCTTCTTTTTTCCTGTGGCTCCTATCTGTTCAAGCTATCTGACTTTTTTTCTGCAGGGTGGGGGAAAGTGTGCTCAGTCACTAGGCAACCTGTGTACAGCTAGATACCTCTGGTGATAGTTAAAGGGAGATCTGGAACTAGAGGTAAGATCTAGGAAAGGAGGTAGTTTAGCTTAATTGACACATCTGCCAGGCCTTCTAAAACGGGTAGTCTGGACACTTAAGTCTGTTCTCAGAGAGTAGAGAGGTATCTCTGATAAGGTACTTTCCTCTGTCTGGGGATGGACCTGGCCGGATGCTGCCAATGATGATAATTACAGGGAGGCTTGAACTGGGGTTCTGGCTGTGCATAGCTGTCAGCACACAAGGTTATCTAAATATTCCTTTAGTAGAGGGGAAATGGTGCTCAATAAATGATGGAAAAGCTACAATAGCACACAAGAAACTCATAGCAGGAAACGGCTGATAATCAAAAGATAAATATCACCAAGGCTCCTTGAGCCTCGGCTTGACCTCTGGAAGGCCCTCAGCTTCTTCCAGGTATAGCTTGTCATAATCAGCTGAACTTCTACTTTGTATATTTTTGCAGTTTGTAGCAAGGTGGCTCATCAGTTTATGGTCGGCACAGACTACAGTAGTGAGAAACATCTCAAAAACCAAATTGTTCTTTCTTCATAAGAACAGGAAGTATCTAGTGTGTTTGGTCCACAGGCCTTTGATTGCCAGCCTCTGGTCTAGTGGACTGGGGGTTCTGCCATCCTATCTATATGATCAGGACACACCTCATGGTGTCCCCTTTGTTAAGGAAATACCTACTGCATTAAGGACCCTGGGCCCAGACTGCCCGCTTTCTATTTTTAAGACCCAAGGTGCATGGCCCCACTACCTGCCAGGGCGGCTGGGAAATGGGCTCATCAACCAGGAGGCCATGTGCTCAGCTGCAGCCTGATTACCGTGGGAGAAGGGGCTGGCATGTGGTAGGCCAGGTCTCCCTCAGATCACCTCCTTCCTCACAGGTTGCTGTCAGGTGCCCAGAGCATGCCTGGCATAAGGTGGCCGAGGACAGCCAGCCACTCTTTCTCCCCAAGTTTTGCATTTCTTTTAGAGTTCATCCCCTTCTTCCTGCTTTGGTAGAGAAATAGCTCCTGTCTTTCATCTGGCTGACTCAAATCGATTGATTGATCTATCAATCTTCCATCCATCTTTCTACCTGTCTGTTTATGGTGGGGCTAGAGCCCAGGGCCATCTGCTTGCCTGGCAAGTGCTCTGCCATTGACCTGTGCCCTCAGCCTCCAGCACAGAATTTTAAGTGTTGAGTTCCACACGACATGTTTGCTCTTAGTGCTTTAAATGGGAGCAGATCTACCCATTTTGCAGCCGTATGCATGGTAGGGTACTGGTTAGCTTTTTGTCAAATTGACACAAACTAGGGTCACCTAGGAATTTCATCAAGAAATTGCCTCCATCATGTTGGCCTGTGGGCAAGTCTATAGGGCATTTTCTTGGTGAATGATTTGGTGTGGGAGGGCTCAACCAACTGAGTGGTGCCACCCTGGGCAGGTGGTCCAGGGTTGTGTATGAAAGCAGGCAGAGCAAACCATGGGGAGTAACCCACTAAGCAGCATTCTTCCATGGCCTCTGCTTTAGTTTCTGCCTCCAGGTTCCTGCCTTGAGTTCCCTTCATGATGGACAATAAACTGTTAAGTTGAAATTAACCCTTCCTTCAAGTTGCTTTTGGTCATGTCATTTATCACAGCAACAGAAAAGCA